AAGAACCGCTGTTTTATTCGATGAGTGGTGTCTGCGAACTTCCCAAGACTATTTACACGATCGCAAACCCCACACGCGCGAGTGATCCAGTTAAGTTAATTGCGTATTGCCCGAGATACACCGAACCTCGACCGAAAGTTCATTCTTCTTCGAGACCGGACCGTTCATCCCCCCCCACCACCCCTAGTTTTCTTTTTAATTGTTTCTGAACTCGACCACCGCCCCCGCTCGCTGCGACCGACATGCCCGTTTCCTTAATTCTACTTAATTATCATCTTAAGACTTAGGCTTTAGACACGTTAACCTTATCGATTAAGCGCTAGTTTAGTGACTCACTTCGTACGTACGCACACGCTGTTAACTCAGTTTCTTTCTCTCCTCGTTCTTTCTTTCTCACTCGTTCCTCTAATCCCCCTCTCTCATTAAGTCTACATACAATCACGGTACTCTCTTTTTTTTTACCACTGTTTCAATTACGTATATCAGTTTAATTTTTACGCGACTATATAAGAGTAAAGATAAAATATATAATTTGCATTTTACACATTCCGATTCTAAACTCTAGGAATTTTCTGCCGCTTTTTTCTCCTATTTTTTTTGTATCATAGTTCGCCACGTTTATACACACAATATATTTTACTCTATGCAAGTAGTCGGTTCGCTGTTCCAGTGGATACAAAATTGTTCACTTTTAAGCTAGACCGGTGTTTACGGCGATCGCTCTGCTTCCCCCTGTCGATCCCCTAAATTGCATTACGTCTGAACAGAGAAGATTCGCGCGTACATCGTAACCGCTCGATTATTGCACAATAATTCTGTTTTTCCGCGTGTCACGGACGACCGGGAGAAATACCGGTGATAAATTTGACCATTAAGGAGCGAACGAAGAAAGAACCCTCCCGAACGTATCAAAATTCTGCCGATCGATACTCAGCGTCGTGAACTTCGTTCGCGAATTGAGACACGACGATGTAGCACTTACACCGTTTGCCTGTCCAACAAGGATTAATGTTACCGACACGGTGCACCCGTGAAAAGTCTCTGAAAACGTTTTGTCACGCAGGCATTTATGCGTGAAATTTCGCCTGCGCCACCGAGCGCGAGTGTCGTAATAGTGGATACCGTGACGCAACACCGGGGCAATAAATACTTACTTCCTTTGTCTCGCGAGCCGCACCCTGCGACTTCAATGCCGGCCATTACCTGGCCTACATAGATCCTATCTCTGATCAATGCGACCAGAATTAACACATGTCGCGTTTACCTACCGCGGGACCCGCCGTTCAAAAGTTCAACCCGAGTCGTGCGAGATTCGTCCATCGAGGGAAAACGTCGGAAACCAGTCACGAAGCTAACGATTTAATTAAACTCTCCCCGATGTAATTGTACTGATCGTTATTATTCGAATTTTTCAAGTTCCGAGGCGCGAGAAGGAACGACTTAACAAACCCTATCTGAGGTGTGTAACGAAGTTGGAAATTGCGTTGCTCAAAGTTTGTTCGACGACTGATCGGCGGTTGCCGAAGTATACTTTCGCTAAGTAACTTTCGATGTAAACGACCAAGTATAACGATAGCCGTCCAGTGACCCACAGTAGAATAGTTTATCTAGTCGGACGTACGGAATGAAGTGCATAAAGAAACAATTCGAGGTGGATCGGGAGGCGGAAAAGTGGAATGGCCGTTATTTATCGCCGGTGTTCCTCTTTCCGTTTGGAACTTTTACGAAAACCCGTGCCGACGTTCGACGCGGAGCCGCTCGACGGGCTATCGAGCTTAATTGACGCCAATTTGCCCGGCCAATTTAGAATCACGACCCCTGACCGTAAACGTTACGGGTTTCGACGCTTCCCACCCCCGAAAAGAAAACAGTGAAGAGGAACCGTGCGCGGGAGACAGCGAGCGATCGTCGACGATCTTTTGCGTTTTTATTCTTTTTTTCACAGTTCGTTGCTCCACAAGGACAAAATGTTTTTTTTTTTATACATAAATAAATCTCTCGAGAAAGAAAGGCCGGTCGATGCGCATAAGCGAGCTCTGGACCATGTATGCTTTACGTATCCTTACGTATATCAGTTCTGTACGAATCGTTCAAAAGTCGGAACGACCAACCGTCGTGGGATCTAAAAATTTAGAGATCGACTGAATTTTATGGAAAAAAAAAAAAAAATAATAAGTTGATCGATCTGACTTCTGCCTGGCTCATACATCTCCCGTTTCTCTTTCCATCTGTTCACTTCGCTTCTTTATTTCTCCCATTGTCAACGGGCCAGAAGAAAGTTCACCGGGATGCCATGCCGGTCCCATGGGAACGTTCCTCGAAGCCCAAGAAATTCCCAAATTATTTCCTTCTATGTACATCTATATTTCTCTTTCTTTTTTTTTAATCATTTTCTTCTTTTTTACCGTTTCGTTTAAATATCGTCTTTTCGCTTTCGTTTTATACAAACGTTTACGTATTTTAATTATCGTTTATTACGTATATCGTTTAAATTGCGTGTATACAAGGTAGAAACTAAATTAACGTCGATCTAAAGTTTTACAACACAGCACAAGAGAATTCGCCGCGGCGGAGTTCTCCGACCGAGTTTCGTCGACGACCTCGATCCGTCATCGATCGCGATCCATCGATCGGGTCGACGAACGACGCGACGCGTTCGGCCACCCCTTGGCACGCTCAATAAACGGTCTAGCCATAAATAAAATTATGCAGATCGAGTAAAAAATAATTGCCACCTCATTAACGCGACGTTCATCGATTCTGTTCGAACATGCTTCGTATTTATGAATAAATATTCAGCAGGATATTTATACCGAAACTGATAACAAACAAATAATTTCCAATAAAAATATATTTGGAAATGACACTGCATTTTATTTGGAACGAATCGATCGAACTGTAAGAACATTAATGCAGTTTTTAATTCGAGGAACTGTTGAGAAATTGCAGGATAGCGTTTTTCAACCACGAGATGCTGGCTAAAGACGTCATTAAAGTGCCAAGAGGTTCGCGCCGAAAACATACTATTCCAAAAATACGCTACGAATTACATCACTTGGTAACTTGGCCTCGTATCGCGCGGAGCAGCGAGTTATCAATTACCACGAAATTTTACCGAGGATCTTTGTAATTTTCCGAATATTTGTAAGAAATACGTAAACGCAGTATTACCCGTAATTTTCAACTGACGGAATAAACAAAGCGGCTCTACGTTTTACATGCTCTTCAACCGGTGTAACAAAAAAGGAAACAGTCCGATCGTATGTTAAAAGGAACGTGACACACGGCAAAGTGCAAGTAAGAAATGTAATTTTTTAACTGACCTTGCGAATCTTGCGATGACACCAATGAAGAAATGTCAAGGGTTCTGCTCCGCCGAGGGCCACCGCACTTCTAACACCAGTTTTCCATTCATTCAGCACACTGTCCTTCGAATGGGAAATTTCTCCGCATGTTTGGCCGGAAACTATGTCAGATATATCCGAGATCGATTCACCGAAACAAAAAAGATCACTGGAATTTTACACTGTTATTTCACTGGTTCCATAAACCGTTTCGATCATTCCTTCCCCGCTCGACTCGTTTTCAGCCGTAAAATCGAGTGTGCAGCCTCGCGTTTCTTCTTTGAAATTTTCCGACACTTGAAGAAACACATCGGATTTCGAATAATCACACTTGGCACGTTCCCTGAATTAACCCTCGCTGAGCCACCGTGGTGTATCGTAGAGAAAAGAACCTATCTAAACGATCCTCTAAAGAATACTAAATCCGTTCATCTACTCGCTAAATAGAGACACGATTGGACGACGGTCCGTTTTTATTTTTCTCGTTTTCCGGTTTAATTGCGTTTCCGCCCTCCTCTTCCTTTACGATCTAACTCGCACTACGGACTCTACGCGATTCTGTACGACGTGTAAGAGAATAAATAATAAAACGTTTTCCTAATTATCTATAGGGTAATTCTTTCTTTTCCACGCGCGATACAATGTTTTCTCCGCGAAAACGATTCACCGTCGTTCGATCCGTTTTCACACTCGTTCCGATTTCTCGTTCGCGAAGTTCACGTACTCTTTTTCTCATATATGTATATATATATATTTATATCTATATCGTATATATCACTTTACACGCTTTCGACATTCACGCTCTCTATGCTATACAATTAAAGGATCGACCATTCAGCTCGCGTTTTCAAGTAAGTATATTTGTTTCTCCCTTTCTCACCCGCATTCTCTCTACTTCTCGCACGCTTCTCTCATCCTCTCTCCGCCGCCTTCTTGCTTCGCTCCGCCAATGTTTTATTCCCTATCGTTATAGGCTTTAGTATAATTACATTCGATTAAACGTAATAGAGGTTAACGCGGTTCTGATTAGCATGTGATCCAGTTTTCCCTCCTATCCGATCCGATCCGATTCGATCCTTCTTTCTCCGTTTTTTCCCGGGCCGTTCCTCTCCGCCGCCGTGACTATTAGAAAGATCTGCGCGCGTTCCTATAAATCTTCATCCGGCTGGTTCGTGTGTCCGGTTACCCTTCCTTCTTTCTCCTTTTCTTCCATTTTACTCCGTGTCCCTCTTCGCTTATCTCGCAGTCCCTCTCGCGCGATCTCTCTCTCTCTCTCTCTTTCTTTCTCTATCTCTTTCTCGTCCCTTTGTCATCGTCCTCGTTCATGTCTTCACTTCCATCCACACCGTCGGCCACGTTCATTTCTCTTCCACGTTCGGTCCTTATCCCTTTTATACACGTTGTCCTCTTCCATTTTTGGTACGAGCAACTTGATTAACACGACAAAATAAGCGTCATTGCTGTATGAGTGGGGTACGTGGGGTGTGTGTGCGCGTGTATGCATTAGTGTGCGAGTGTGTTTCCGATTCCTGGCCGTTCGTTTCAGGGTTCGCGGGGCGCTGGCACTGGGTCTGAGGCTTTGCTAAGGGGTTGCGTGTACGTGTCTGCGTCTGTCTGTTCGTGTGTGTGCGTGTGTGTGTGTGTGTGTGTGTGTGTGTGTGTGTGTATGTGTGTATGTGTCGGAGGGGCGGGGGTATGGGGGGGAGGAGGTAGTGCTGGAAACAAGGTATTAACGACCCTGAGAGAGATGAGACCTCTTTGGAAGTTCCACTTCTCCGGTGGGGCTGTTCGCTCAACCCTGCGGCGAGGTCTGAGGCGAGATCTCGGTGTCCCCGTCGCCGGAGCCCGGCTCCCCTTTCGTCTTGTTCTCCTTCTTCCACTTCATCCGTCTGTTTTGGAACCAGATTTTGATTTGCCGTTCGGTCAGGCAGAGAGCGTGCGCGATCTCGATCCGCCGCCGCCTGGTCAGGTATCGGTTGAAGTGGAACTCCTTCTCCAGCTCAAGGGTTTGGTATCGGGTGTACGTCTGCCGGCCCCGCTTCCTTTCTGAAATCATGCAAATCGATCTTGCTCTTACCCCGTCGGTCCGTTAGCCTCCCGCCACGAAGCTTCTATGAACTCCTCGCTCTTATTACGGAATCTAATTGATCGACGCGTTCGAATTGGAATTCGATTAATAGAAGTTAGGTTTTTATCGTATCGAGAGGCAATTGGTCGTCGTTCCAATGTCTCTCGTCGCCTCCATTATCGACCTACGTCCGTTACCCTGACGCGACTTTAACGATCGAAGTTCGCTACCAAAAGAAGGAAAAGAAAATGCATGGAAATCTCGGATACCGTTCACCGCTGCATTCCTGCCCAGCGGAGGTAGCCACGGGGTACGCGAAAACGCTTCGTTAGCCGCGCGGTGCACGCTCGAGGCCGCGATCCGAGATATTTAATGAACGCCGGAGTAACCTGCTTCGGCACGCGGGAAAGTTTTTACCCAGGAGAACAAAAATGCCTGTCCGACGAAAGAAAAAAGCTGCCACCTCTGGGCTCGTAGGCGCAGTTCCGCGTATGATAGATACCTTACAGATATCCGTGACGTGATCTGCGCTCGGTGTGGCGGTACACGAATCCCGAACGAGAATATTAATTGTACTTGCCAAGGGAAAGGGAGAAGCGCGGACAGAGAAAGAGAGAACTGGACTCTGCGCGGACCAGCGTACACGCGTACAGTCAGGTCAAAAAGCGTGGACGGGTACAAGATTTAACGCGTACACGGTGCGCGTTGTAAATTGATACGAAAGATGCGAGACGTTGAGTCGGCACGTAGGCAAACCTGATCTTGCCGATTAATTTTTCTATCTAATGGTACGGTGCATGCGTTACGCGCGAGAATCCTATTTTCTGCGAGAGGTATACCTGTCTTTTACACCGTATACTCGCGCAGCAGGCATAATCTCAAAGGGTTAGGTTGGCTGTTGCCACATGAGCGCGAGAGGGCAAAACGAGAATATTTCAGAGTGGTACGAGGGAGGGAAAAAAGGAACAGACGGAAAGAGGACAGCGAGAAAAGAGAAGGAGGAGGAGGAGGAGGAGGAGGAGGAGGAGCGAAATAAGACGAAGAAGAAGAAGAAAACTCCTTGGTGAGCATTCGAGGCAAACGCCGCCCGTCGCGCTGTCGGCCGATGAAGACGGATGGCGACTCTCCTTCGCGTGGAGAGAGCGAGAGAGGAAGAAAGGATCTTCTCCTTCGAGGGTTCCGCGCCTCTCGACCGGACGGAGAACACGGGGAAGGAGAGAAACTCTGGGAACATGCCCTCTCCTCGCCCTCTTACCTCGGGCTACGCTCTCAAATTAACAACATACCAATCTCTAGCGTTTTCTTATAACTTTTGACCATTACGCCCAACTTCCACCGATTATTATTCTCCGTCCCAGGCTCCCAGTTTTTGTCGTCCCGGACCCTTCCACTAAATTATGCTTTTAAAAATGCATTAGAATTACCACGGGCGATACGACGCCCACCGCGTCGTCGTAAAAACTTGACGAACTTTAATAACGAAACCGAATCTCTGCTGCGACAAAATGTTAAAACTGATCGTGTTCAGATCTGTTGCAAACAAATGATACGCCTGTGGAAACAGTCGTTGCGAAATCAAAGCATCTTTGATGTCCGGTTTAGGAACGGCTAGCAATCACGGGGGAAACACGTCCGCGGCAAAATTGGAGTCCTAGCGAGCCAATCAAAGGATGCCCGGGATAAACATAGATCTCGTGTTTCATCAAAGAGGCTGACGAGTCGCGCCTCCGCTTGGAAGCCCCGGTTTATTAATGTTCATTCGTCAGCCAGTTAATGAAGGTGCCCCATTGAAGACAACCCAGAAGAGATCATCAAAGACGTTCAACGAAACGATGTCCGAGGCTGGACCGTGCGATTAGTCTATGCCCCTATATCGATAACAAGTATCATTGCCCAATCGCAATTAGGAGGCGAGGTCATGTACGCCATCGAGAACCGCGAAACGCCAGGTGCTACCGTTCAAAGAGATTCTTAATAGCGACCAACGCTTTTGAAACAGTTGGGTAAATAATACTCGGCGCTTCAACTCATCGAAGATCATCTATCATACCGCGAATTGAACTTGGAACGACTACTTCGTGTTTTGGTGTGTCTAATACAAAGTTTCAGTGGATCTAAGCTCGACCCAGCGGCTGTTTTATGGATCGTTTCTAAAAATAAATTGAAAAATCGCGTTGACGCCTCGGGCGCCTCAGGAATGGAAACTCGCGTCAGCCTCGCAGCGAGTAACTATTATCCTAATAACGAGGTAGCGCAAGGATATCGGCAATATCCTCGCGACTTACGTACGGCTATAGCCGTCCGGCTTGAAATCGATAGTGGACTCGAATCTCGATCGGCCTCGTCCGGTGGATTAGACGTCAGCCTTCTCCTTCTGTCGAGCATGCGGGCTTAATTAAGCAGCCGCTCGGTACCGAACGCGGACAGAAGCCTTAATCGACCAGCGAGAGTAATTGGACGTAAACTGTTGGAATAAGAAAATTTTCAAGGCGCAACGAACTAGTCATATGAAGAGTGTTAAACGGAGAGAACAACGTTGCTCGACCAAGGGAGTCCTTGAAACGGTGCGAAGGCGTTATCAGGGTACCCGATCGGCAGTGAATTAATCACCGGTATGAATTCACGCCGGTCCGCAAAGAATTCAATGGCTGTTTTCATTGTGCGAACGCGTTCGTGGGAAACGCGAGGGTGCGAGATACTTTTTATGATCGTTACTGGAACGCTCGGGAAGAAATGCGGAGCGAGGCTCTAACGGGGAATCATTTTTCAGTTGAACCATGACCCAATTCTTGAGAGAACGTCAGAATTTGTTTTGAAATCGAGATTTTAGAGGAACAAAAAATTGATGCACACCTCGGGGGTAGATCGCGCGAATTTGTGCACGGCGAGGTACGCGGGACGCGTTAAAGAGGTCGATAACAAGAAAAGCTGGCCAGAACCAGAACCAAAGCCAGAGGCCGCGTCGCGTCGCCGGGTTTATGCTGAAACCGGCGTTCCGATGGCGGCGCGTATAGCCGTAGCCGTTGCTCTCTCGCGGACGGAGGTGACTTTAAACGCGGGGCAATAAATTAACGGCGTTGGGTTACGCAAGGATCAAATGTCCCCTGGAGTATGCCCGAGAGATTTATGGGTCTGCCTTCACTGGCGCAGCATGAAGGAACGGAACGGAACAGAACAGAACGTACACAACCGTATGGCTTATTATAGGCTAGTTGCTCCGCTTCTCTCTCCCTCGTTTTCTCCGTTCTCTCTCCGCCGCGGACCGACGCTGGTCTCTCAGAGAGACCCGCCGCAGGATACAACATGCGCGCAGGACTTTTCAGATGAACAGCTAGCCGGATGTTGTAACCCGCTAATAAGGCGCGGCCACCACTCGCTGCCCAATTAAGCTAAAGCTTTACGTGGCCACCTTAAGGCCAGGCCTTGAAACGCTCTTCGATTAGATACCCTAGATATCCCATTAATTTTATCGCGTTCAACCCTCCCCCGAGCTGCTGCCCGCGACGGGTTCTGGTCTGTTCTGTTCTGTTCTGGCCAACACCGATCCGGGCCTCTCTCGGATTATATGACCGGTCGACGTTGCTGACAGAGGTCCAGATTAATTGCGAGGAATCCGGTGAACCCGCCTTGGAAAATCTTTCCGGCCGGTTTCACAGGTTCAGGTGGTTTCGTTCGGGACCGAATAACGACGGAGGGCACGATATACTTTCACCCTTGTACAACCGTGCGACGTGAGAACTTCTTAGATAAATATGAAACGCGAAATAGTTGAAAAATGATCGAAACCTGAACAATAGCTGACACCTTCGGATCTGGGAGAAGAAACAGTGCTTCGGCTCGCGTCTCTTTAATCCCGAACACGTGATCGAATAAGTTGCCTCCGTCTCGATTCCCGTCTCGACCAACCGTATATATTTTAAGCGCGGCAATCCGTCTTGCTTTTTGTATTTCCGTCCTAAGCTGTTTTATGTCACGTCGTTTTCGTTGAACTTTCTTCGCCCCGAGAAGGGAGTCATCGCTTTTTTGCTCGGCGAAAGGCAAACCAGCGTGGCCCTCCACGTGTACGGGGGTCGAGACGGTAACCTTCGTTCAGGAATTTCGTCGGTTGTTTATGCAGCCCTCCGGAGCAGGGTCGCGTTCCAGGCTTCGCAAACTTCCTGGATCTTCGATTCGAAAATAAAATAAAGAATCGTGAACCAAAGGAGAACCGGAAGAACTTGAAACGACGCGAACAGCTTGTTCGATCGGTCCAAGTAACAGCGACTGGTTCGAATGGAAGCAACGTGCAGCTGACGAGAATTACTCTCGTCGAAGTAAGTATTTGGGTTTTGGATATCACGAAGTGGAAACGTCCTGAGCGCGGAATGGTCATCTAGGCCGTAGCAAAGAGACGAGAGAGGAAGTGGAATTCAATAGAAGTCACCGCCGGAATAGGAAGAACGTCGAGTAGATCGACGCTCATAGAGGGAAGTTTAGAAGCGGAGAGTATCCGATAGGAGGCCCTCTATCTTTGCCTTCTTTTTTTGTCTGTCGGAGCAGACGGACGGGACAAGGAGACGAAGTCTGAAAGCCCGGGGGAGTGTTAGAAGGTCGAGATAATGAGCAGCGTTGAACGTATGCATTGGTAATAAAGGGGTATCCGTCTGGTCGGTGTCCTACTTTGCCTGGCCTGTTTTTATTTGCACCTGCTCGACGAACGGAGAAGTACTCATCGAGAAGCGAGAAACAATGACAGAAAATGAAACCCAGATATGAACATAGTCTTTGTTAATTAATTAACGAGAGTGGTGGGTATAAACGATCAGAAAACTATGTATCAGATAATTTTACTAATGTCTGACATGACGGACCTTTGACTACAGCCTACTTTGAGACCAATTTGAAATTTCTACGTATAGGTAATTTACGCGCGAATCCTCGAACAGAAACTCATATCCTTCGCGCGGTACATCGTCCATGGCTGTCTCGGGAGTTCATGGCGGCGGCCCAAAAAGCAAACGGACATAGGGATTTCCGTGGAGCGATCCATCATCGTCACCGTCCGCACGCCCCCTACTCTTCCGCAACTCTCTCCTTTTCTCGCCCTCTCTAACCATCTCTGTTCCGTTCTCGCACCGCAACGTCATTTCCTCGACGCTCCTCCTTTCTTTGCCCCTCTGGGGGCCACCATCCTCTCTCTTTTTGAATATCTCACGAAGCCGCCATCGTTACGGACACCCGTCTCTCTTTTCTCTCTACCCCTCGGCGTTCGCCACGGCAAAACTATGTATATAGAACGAAATTCAACGGAACGCGTTTCGAGATGAGAATTTTGATCACCACGACCGCGACCGTACCCGGCCACGTTCGCGCAGCCCACAGGTTAAAACTGTACGCCTGCCACATGGTATCTAGGGAATTTTTTACGATCCTTTCGTCGACCCGAAAGCGGAAAGGGTTGGGGCTCGTCGATCAAATCGGACCTACGGTCGTTTCAAATATTCCATCGAAGTTGAAAAAACTTGTTTGATAATTGCAGAAAGTAATAACCGGCACAGGTTGACGAATACGGTTGCGAGCACGTGTCTCGAAGAACGGAATAGCACAACCGAGTTCATAAATCTGCAGCCTCAATTAGTCCGGCGAGCGAAAAATAAAACAGCAAGTCACAGGGAGCAAGGGCCATTTTAATTCCTCATTACGCGCCGGGTTATTGGCCATTTACGCAGCTATTTCATCCGATTAATTCGACGGTGGTTGCGGTTTCTTTTGCCGCGGCACTTCGTTCCGTTTCGCTAAGCGATCGTGTCGGTGCTTGGATTATGTAATAAGAAATGTACGCCCTCGTGTACAATGTACGTACACACGCTCGAGAACGCGGCCGTGTACGCGCGCAACAACGGAAGTCTCACACCTATGCAGAAGAGCGCGCTTATTTGCAAGGGAAGGAACGAGACCGGCCACGGCCGAAGGCACTCGGTATCATAAATCTCTGCGCGCTAAAGGGACCACAATTACTTTATTTTAAACGCGATAGCTCTTATCCGCCCGACGAGTCCGTACGAATGAATCGACGACCAATCAATAATCTAATTTGTTATTACAGAAATGTAAGCCCGTCCGATTGACGTTAACGAAACGTTTATTAATAACCACCGTTGCTCGTCGCGAGTATTTCGATCTCAGATGTATAGAACGGAATCCCCGAAGCGTCAAGTGTCTGAGACTTGTGAATTATAAGCTCATCGCGTGTTACTTCTATGGTATTGCTACAGCGTTTCACGGGGCATAGCCGCGAGAAATATTACGTTTTGTCGTATGATAATGCGTTTCGCAGGATAAGTCGTGGCTTCTTGCGGTAGTTACATTGTAATTACTGATGCTCGAAAGCCGCAGACCGAGTAAGCCGCGTCCGCATCGGGAGAGTTAATTTTCGACGTTCCTCTCTTTTTCCATCGAGCTAATTGGCTCGATCGCGCCGCCGCCGCCAGCGCGAGGATTTCGCTTTAAATTCTATCCGCTTCGCTGACCAATTATAAAAAAATGTTAATCGATGAACACCGTGTTCACCTAGCGCAAAGCGTGGCGAGCGTGAAATACGAACGACAGTGATCAATTGCTTGAGCTCGGTGCATCCGCGGAGCTTCCAAGTATCAGCGACAGACGTTGAAAAAAAAAAATTATTTCGAGCAATTAATCATCGCGGCTAATCGTAAATTGAATTCTGTAGGAATCGCGGACCGATGGATCTGCCGTTACGACCCAAGTTTAGAGAGTAGAGAGACCGATCACTTTTTCAACCTTTCGTCGACGCGGTAAGCTGGTCTCGTCTCGAATCGTAATGCGCATTGACATTTCGGGGGCCAGCGAGAACATTAATTACGTGAATTCTCAGTGGTCTAACGCTGTCGCGGCTGTCGCGCGAGTCGACAGGTAGTCGGGGACATTTATAGCGAAAATTCTGAGCGTAACGAACGGATCTCGATGCACGCCAGCAATAGTACTACCGTCCCCGCAATCAGAGGAGGCTCAAGCGTTGTCGAAAGTCGTGCGCAAACACAGAGACGGCGGCGGCGTTTCGTGATGTTCGGTGAAACCGAGCGAACATGCCCGGCCAACTATCGCCGGAATTTCCTAACCGACGTAACCCGCAAATGTCCCCGGCGCGGCGTAAGGTGCCAGGGAGAATCTCGGCAAGGTTTCACCGGGCAAATGCCCGGGAGAGCCACCTGCATCTATAAAATTGAGCCATGCATTATTCATCGAGCCGCCTCTGCTCTTATAGCGCGCTTAGCTCAGCTGGTGTGTTTTGCAACGTCGAAAGAAACGGGTAGCCGTGGCCGCGAATGGATAACCGGATAGTAAATTGATACGAGCTCTATCGTAATCGGTTTGACCTGTACTACACGAGTAATAGAATTGACTGGCGCGGAACTAATGGGCCGTCCTACTAGAAGAATGTTCAGAGGAAACCTATTTAACGTCGACGTCTTTTCAACGATCGGAACTTGTTCTACGTTGTTAAAACACGTATAAATGACGAAGACGATGGGGGAGGGAATGTTCGACAGGAGCACTTTCGCTGATTCTGGATAACCAGGCTCGTTAATCAATTTTCGGAAGGAAAACGATGCTGGTTCATCAGAGGGATGAAACGATCAATATGTTTAGTTAAAAGAATTGTAAAAAATGAACGAACATGGTCGAATTGTGCGGTAAAGACAAGTGTGCCGACATCTATGAGCAGGATCAGGCACCCGATGCTCTTTCTTCCCTTTTGACTGGCAGCGAAGCGTGGACCAGCCTCGTCATAGCAAACTAAACCAAGGGCGACCGTTTATCGGTGAAAGGAGCCGGCTGGTATCAGCTTTAGAACCAAACCGAGAGATGGTCCGAAGGGTGTCGTTTAAAAAGATCCCGCCACCGACGTACGAGACTTTTACTGATAGAACTTACGTGTATAATTTTAGAGAAACCAATTACGATGATTCGAAGAGAAGACTACGTACTTGACACCACGAGATTCTCCGAGCGACTGAAGAAGTAAGGAGACGAGAAGAAATCGGAAGGGGAACCTGACCTTGCAAGGTGACGAAGTACGCAATTTAGATTTCGACACCAAAGAGTCGAAGGGAAGAGAAATAAGAGTAAACGCAGCGGGGCACCCGGAACCTGTGCTCTTACCTAACCCGGAGATAGGATACCGTCGGGTTAAGGGAAACGGCTATTATCGCTTCGTTATTGCCGTCATAAATTTTGAACTCGTTGCACCAAAATAACACCGGCCGATTCTCCTCAGTCACGGACGGTTTTAGAAAAGTCCGGTGTACCTTTCGAGCCCCGTCGTATTTCAGAGAACAGGTGGTTCGACAAATACAAACGAGTTGAATTTTATTTATCCTTCAAGAATGAAATTCTGTTCTTAGGTAAAAAAATAAAATGATTTGAACTGTTAGGGGTGAACGAAATCTAATGTTCTCGTGTAAGTGAGGAAACTGGTTCAAAGTAACATCGAAGGAGCCGCGAGTTATCATGGGAATAAAAGTGGATGAGGCTCGGCAGCCGTGGAAGAGAACTTTTATGGGGTACGTGTGGTGAAACGAGCACGAGAGCCGAAAGGTCGGGGCAATAAATAACTCGGGACGTCGGTATACCTAGAAACTGGAGACATTATGCCAATCTTGGCTTCGCGAAGCGTACGAATGTGGTCTAGTTTTACCTACCGTTGCATAAATCTGAAAGCGGCTACCTGCCATCCCCACTCAATATAAAAAAAAAGAAACCTTGCTTTCTATCCGAACGGTCTTTTCGGCCACGCGGGAAAATACCTGGAGACCCTATTTTCGACAACCGTATCACGTATTAGGCCTCTTCTTTACTTTATGAATGCAAAATTCGTGTTCCTTTTTTTCGTCACGTAATGCGAGATAGGGGAATTTTTTTCTTTTGATGCGAAACAACGCGCGCCAGGTCGGACGATTTTAAAAGTCGAGACTCGTTCACTACCGCCAAAATCTTCCTGCTTCTTTGATTTACGATCGCGTTGTTGTTCGTCAACATTTCGGAATATGAATCGTGAATGACGCGCCTGCGGCTTCTTATTCGCAATAAATGGAACGAAATATCTCCTTACCAAATTGACTTCTCATCCACGGGTACAGCGGACTGGGTAGGTTCGCGCTGGCCGCGCCTTGAGGAGCGGCCTGTTGTTGCTGACTAAGCGGCGACGCGACCACCCCCTGGTGTTGCTGAGCTTGCTGCTGTTGCTGGGGGTGCATGCCCGGTTGCGACTGCTGGGATGCCGCTTGCGTCTGCTGTTGCTGCTGGTACATCATGTGCTGCTGCTGCGCCTGAAGATGCTGATGAGGGGGTGGTTGCTGCTGTTGCTGATGCTGCGTCTGTTGTGGCTGCATGTGAGGGTGCTGCGAGTGCATCTGATGGTGCATCTGCGCCTCGACCAGCGGCGGGCTGTCCGGTCCATCGAGCACGCTACCCTGATGATCGACCGCGGCCGCCTGGAGCTTGCAACTAGCGTAGACAATCGGGGTGGACGGATGTCCGTTGGGTGTCGGCGTGTGCCCCATGTGACCCATCCCGGGGCTCGGGGACGTCGACCTGTAGCCGCCCATGCCGTCCATGCTCCCGTGATCCTGTTGATGCTGATAATAGGTCGCGTTCCGCATGTCCATTCGATTGTACGGCGGAAACCTAGGATAAGGCATATCTTGCTGGCCTCCGGCAGCCCCATAATGGTGAGCGGGCACTCCTTGACGTAATAAGCCGGGGTCGCAAGGGTCCCCAGACTGTTGGGACTGCTGTTGCACCGATTGGGTTTGCTGGGGCACCTGGACGGCGGCACCGTAGTGCTGCTGATGCTGATGCGGGTGTTCCACCCCGCCATTACGCAGGTCCGGGATGTACGAATTCGCGAAGTACGAACTCATGCTACTGTCCCACCTGGCCCACCTTCCGATGCCTGGCCCACCTCTTTCTTTATTTTATCGCTCGTCTTCTCGCGCTCTCTTTTTTACAAAATTGATCACCGGTTTATTTATCTATTCCTGCCTCCTCTCCTTCCTCGCCACTATTTTCCTTCCTCCTATCGTACAGCCGATTCTATGTTCCTTCGTTTTCTCTTCCTTTCCCTTTTAATATTTCTCTGTTTTGTACTCAAATGCGTACGGACACACGCGTCCTCTTTTTTTTTTTATTACGTATACATGGATACTCCTATTTATTTATATACACGTTTGTATCCTCCCTCCCTCCTCACACACTCTCGTAGAACACGCGCGCGTGCACACTATATATTCGTATCACACCACCATCACCGTGAATCACTAGCGTATCATCGAAACAATTTCCTCCTCCTTCTATCTCCCGTTCCGTTCGCGCTCGTTTATCACACTGGACTCATCGATACGAAATGAAAAATAGCAAGGAGAAACTATAAACTGGAGCACTAAAGAACCGTGAGTTGAGGGTCGTTGGGTTTTAAACTTGTACACGAGGGGGGGGTTTTGTGCAAGATGGTAATCAGAGTTCCACTTCGGCGTGGTATCTTCGTTCAAAGCGCCAAGCCGCTCCAGACACGTTCCGTTCCTCTGTCCACCCTGCTAACGAAGTTGTGCCGCACCTGAAAAACCAAAAATCCACCTCGCGTTAGCGACACGAATTTGTCAGGTTCACTTTTTATTATTTGTTAAAGCAGTAGAAAGACAAGAATACTACGAGTACAGGACTCGTCGTTTCCGAGATTCTTGATAAACGACGAGTCGAATTACGATTTCATTTAATCGTACCGCGTTAAGTTTTGAGCCAGCTCGTACGTCGGCTACGAACTTTGTACTGAATGAACGGAGGTTTGCTCGGCGTTTTGCTCTGACAAGAGTGACAGAAGGCGAGTTACACACGTGCTCGTCACGGTGACGGCCATCGCCCAGACACCGAACTCTCTGCTTGGCCCTGCTCCGTGTAGGCGGGCTAAACGATCGTTAAATTTGGAAAAATTCCCGGTCCATTAAGCGAGCTCTACGCCTCGTCGAGATTCTCCTACTAATTTTTTTGTTGCACCCAGTTTGCCGCCACCGAGTTCCCCGCAACTCGTTAGTATGTAACTAGAATCCCGTTGCTTCTTCTCTTTCTGGTATTTCTGAGTGAAGACAATTCCAAGAAAGTATTCGGGATTCAACAATTAATTCTAATTCAGTTCGTATCATCGAGCACGCGAGAATTTTTGACGAACGACTCGTTCCGAATGGACCGTTTGAAAAAACGAAGACACAGAAAAGTTGTCGGTGCTTCATCAATTCATAGAAGCTCTCACCGAGTACAGATTACTAAAGAGTCGCAGCCCTATGGAACTTTGGGCGGCACGAAAAAGTTGGCAATTTTTGTCACCCTTTAGAATATATTCAGAAATAAGAAGCAAGACACTCGTCGATGCTGACCAATTGCTAAACGCAAAAAGGATCCTATGCAATTTCTTTCTAACTCCATTCGTTAAGAAATAATTAGCGATCGACAAAATAATTAATCGATTAGTCCTGAATTAGCAGTTACCTACAATTTTTAGTTGAAACATTTTTCAAAATATCGAGAAAAAAAAAATTTTGTATTTTTCCGGGATTTGGTCAGGCGCGTTCGTTTATCGCCAAAACTACTGTTGCCGCTAGCGAAAAATATTTTAAACAAAAGTTGTAGATATCACGAAAAGCTATGAGTTTTGTATAAAACATTTTTTTCTACCGTCAATAGTTAATGAATATTTTCCAATAAACTGATTTTTCGTTTTTTGTGAAATACTCGTTAACTATTGACGCTAGTGAAAAATGTTTCATACAAAAATTGTACCTCTAGCTGTTAGCGATTACCGACTGTGCTTTGAGCCCCATTGAGCCCCATTCGCTGGCCCAACGATTACACATGCACTGCCATTCTTTAACAGTATCTCCTCGGTGAAGCTCTCGAAACGATCTCTCGATCAGGTTTCGAAACCTTCCATACCGGCTCTGCATCATCGGCCCGAAGCGGCTGCCTGGCGGACGTCTGTGCGCGAGCGTCTTATACTACTTATTGTTAGACCGAGCATTCCCTATACATATAGTAATGGCTGGCGAAATTCCTAATTCTACTGCGACGGTAGCAATACAGTATCGATTCCAATCGCCTAAAATACGTGCCTGCATAATTATTATAGACCACATAATATTTTTCTATCAATATACAGTATAAATATAATGACCCGATTCCATTTGATGCTTAATACTAGCTTGTTTCACAGTTACGGTTGCGACTAAATTGATCACGTACAATTCCTATACTCAGTCTGAACATGCGAGCAGCAAAGTTTAAGGATGTATTGGCTATATAGTCAATACCAAAAGTTT